GTTCTCGAGGCGGGCGAACTTCACGCGCAGTTTTGGGAAGATGTCGACGATGTCATCGAAGTTCATGTACTGGAAGCGCGCCGTCGTGGCGGCGGTGGCCAGGGCCTTCTCCCAGGCGATGTCGGTGCAGCGCAGGGCGCCCTGGCCGTACAGGCTGAGGCAGTCGCCCTCCAGCTCCGCCAGGAAGTTGGGGCCCTGCTCGCGGAGGATGCCGGCCGCGCTCGGGGCCACGCTCGCCAGGGCCCTGTCCCCGCGGTCGGCGAAGGACGTGCGCTCCGCCTCCTTGGGCCTCGCCAGCGGCACGCGAAGGTCGGCCAGGTTGGGCTGGCCGCGGGCGGGCGCGCTGCCGATCTCTAGCGAGCTGGTGGGCGTGGCGGCGGTGGTGGTGGTGGTGTTGGTGGCGGCGGACTCGGCGTCGGAGCTCGAGTCGATCTCGGAGGGTCGGAGACGGCGCTGCGCGGGGACAGCGGCGCCTCGGGGCCCTGCGTCGGAAGACTGAGGTTGGAGCGCACGCGCGTGATGGCCGCCGTCACCACCTTGTCGGGCAGGTGGCTCGCGCTCTTCAGCGTCTCCGGCTTCTTGATCGCCTCCGTCGTCTTGGCGCTCGCCCGCTTGGCGCCGCCCTCGTTGGCCATGATTCGCGGCCGCCCCTTCTCGCCGCCCACGCCCGAGCGCGCGCTGCCCAGCCTCGCGGGGCGCCGCACGACCGGCACGCTCTTCACGGGCGCCGCCGCCCCGCGAGGCCATGTCCAGGTTGATCATCTCGCTGCTCTTCGCCGCCGCGCCCCCGTCGGCCGCGCCGCCCGCGGCCCCGTCGCTCTCGCTGCCTCTCGAGTCCGGACCCCGCACGGACTTGGGCCGGTGGCGGCGGCCGCCGTCGCTCGAGTTCTTTCTGCGGAGGACTCGCATGTCGGTGTAGGACTTGCTGCGGGGCAGACTGCCCTTCCCCGCTGCGTCGCCGGCCGTGTCCGTCCTGCCAGGGCTCGCCTTCTTGGTGGCGCTCAGGGGCGCGCTCTCGTGCACGAAGGGCACCTCCGAGTGACTGAGCCTGCGGTCGGGCGGGCGCTGGACCAGACTGATGTCGGAAATGCCGCTGGACGTCCCCGAGGAGATGAGGGACGAGCGGTCGTCCTCGTGGGCGTCACCCTTCGCCCTCTCCTCCTTCTCGCCGTCGCCCTCCCTCTCGCCGGCGCGGCCGCTCGTGACGGTGACCTCCAGCTCCTCCTCCCTGGCCTCGTCCTCCCCGACGTCCGAGACGGTGTCGCCGCAGAAGCCGCTGGAGTGCTCGGTGGCGTCGCTGGCCTTGGACAGAGGGTGGTCGCTGGTGCCTGCGGGAGGGACGGGCTTTATGTATGTCTGTGTGTGCATGTACGCATGCACACAGACATGCATAAACATACACACACAATTATTGTTTGTGTGTGTGTGTAGATAGATATGGATATAGATATATATATATATATATATAATATATAATATATAATATATATATATTATATATATATACATATAGTAGATGCATAGATCGTCAAGTATGGATATAGATATAGATTTCATGCTTTTATTTCATTCAATAATATTTTTCCTTATATTCAATAAATTTACCTCTTTTATGTTAATCCATTCACCAATTCTTATAGAGGGGGACTTTGTAAATGGCATTTGTTATATGGGACAATACATTAACACAAAAAAACTAACACAATATGAATATGATAACACAAAATGTCAAATCAAAATGTGAAATATGAAACGAACAAAAAACATGAACACACAACACCAGCACAAAGCAGCAGCACAAAACGCCAACACAAAACACCAATTTAAAAACACCAAAACACAACACAAACACACACAAAAAGACACAAAACGCCAACGATAACACAAAAAACTAGTGCGCATTTTTTATGTCAACCGACACACAAACACAAAAAAAACGCAAAACACCAACACCAAACGCTAACTTAAAAACACCAACACACAAGACATATCCAAAATAATAATAATAATAATAATAATAATAATAACTACACAGATACACAAAACGCTTACATAAGAAAACACCAATACACGCAAAAAAGAAAGAAAAAAAAAACGCCAACTTAAAAATAGACGCAAAACTAACACCAATTCAAATTGCCAAGTTAAAAAACGCTAAACACACACACACACACACACACCCAAATAACACATAACACCAGACTACAGACACGCTATACAAACACACAAATAACCACACAAAAAAACGCCAACTAAAAATCCCCAAACACAAAAACACCAACACAAACCGCCAACTTAAAATCCCCCAACACAAAAACACCAACACAAAACGCCAACCCGACTGCACTTACTACACGAACTCTCGCTGGGTTTCCTCACGAGCTTCTTATGATCCTTCTTGACGACTCGCCAGTGCTTCATGGCGTTGTTGATCGCAGAGTTCCTCTTCTCCTCGTCGCTGATCCTCGTGGCCTGCGCCCTCTCCTTCTCCCGCGCCTTC